AAGAGAAGAAAACAACGTTTATAGAGAGAAGCACACAATTCGTTATGCGAACATTGTTTTTGTTTCTTATTTTTGTTTCTTATTTTTGTTCGTTTATTCTTACAGTAAGCGATAAATTACGGCCATCAAAATTTAAAATTTCTAAATAAAAAATATAAACTATGCAAGGCTACTGCAAAATAAATGTAAGAATACTTGAAAAAAACCCAAAACAAAAAAAGATTTTTCCAATCGGTTGTGCTGTTGTTGAAAATTAAGATGGTGAGAAAAATTAATTCAACCGTTTTTGTGTTGTTTGGAAATAATACTTTGTTTCTATAGTTTTTTAATTAGCTCATATTATATTTAACTTTGTTGTTGTTCTAGCCAACTCATTTGCTCTTCACCTGCAAGGCACATCTGTAATAATTTCTCTTGATACTCTATGTGTACTACTTTTACACTCAACACAGTATACTATTTGACGGCCACTTATGTATGTATGTATGTGTGGCATTTTCAACCGAAACCTCTTATGCCACAGGGAAGCTTATGCAGGCTAAGCTGTAAATGTTGGATGTTCGTTCTTCATATCACCTTAAGAAATTGAGAAAATCTTTTATGACCGCGCAAAATACCAATGGGTAAGAATGGGTCTACCGATCGGAGTATAGGTGAACCGTTGATCCCAGGCCTGGATATGTAGCATCTGATGGCTCTTTAACGTTGGAACCGCATACTTAGCGATATCGCCCAATATATCTCCAGGGATTTAGATTAAGCTATCATCGTTGTTGTCTAGCTGGAATAATGGTAGCACTAGGAAGCGCGAGGTTTCAATGTGGTTCAGGCCAAAGTTATATTGGCTGAGTCAATTTTGCGTAGACAGTTGAAGATAAGGTTTGTATTGTAAGTGGTTTCCTTATAAGCTGGACAAGTCTTTGTTCCGAGTCTATTATGAATAGCTCTACTTAACCATTTTCTTATAAAAAGTGGCCCACTTTAGTGAGTGAAATTTTAAATTTTCTTTGGTGGAATTGCTTAACACTTTCTAGACGTTCATAAAAACGGAAGTTAATGGACTGTTGCACCTGACAGTTTTCGAAAAACCCCAAATGTTATCAAAAACCCTGAAAAATTTCCGATTTATAAAACACGAAGAATCCCGGAAAAATTCTGAACTGTCCCGACAAAAAATTTTGTACGATCTCAAAAATTCCTCAACAATCCGAAGAAAGAATCTCTACATTTGAAAACACCGTTGGTATTAAAACCTTGAAAAATACAATGACCAAAAAATCACAAAAAAAAAACGCGAAAAATTTCAAGAATTTCAAAAATCTTTCGGGAAAGTTCGCGACAAAATATTCAGAACTATGCCGAGATAATTTTAAGGACTCAATAAAATTTCTAAAGTTTCGCAACATTTAAATCTTGTATAGTCGTAAAAAAATCAGAAATTACTGATTTCTGCTGAAATTACAGGGAATTTTTTTGGTTTAAAATCAAAAAATATATTTTTGGTTTAAAATCTAAAAAATAGTAAGTATGATAGAGTGACGCGGGTCTCACGAGGCAGCTCAAGGTTTGCATATTTTAAGGCGGTGCAAGGCTGGTTGGCCTTCGATTATGGCATACACGGGCACAAGTTTATGAATATGGCGAAGAGACGTTCGGAATACACCAAGCACAAGAGTCTTACTGAGCATAATATATATTTTGTCCATCAATTCGCGGCATATTTAGCCCACTGTTCAGATCTGCAACGTCTTACACTCTGTCCTCTGGGACCCCGGCAGGTAACCATGTTTTTCGCTCGAAAAGTGGATGGACGAGCCAAATTCTGAGTTTAATCATGAATTAACTAAGAGTTTAAGGTCGGCTAAGACCACAGAACATTTCTATTCTCATAGAAACTGTTGGAAATTATGCTCTCAAGTCAATCGAGACTTCGTGTTACCTACAATCCAACAATCGTCTGCAAGATGGAAGTCTAAAACTTTGAGATATGAAATCAGTAAAATTTTCCTTTTGAGATTTCGATCACCCATACTGCAGACGTTATATGTAGGATTTTAAGCACATGTGTGTGTTAAGACGAGTTTACTATGGTTTATTCGAGAGTCCTGGAACATAAATATAAAAAAACTCATTTCGCGAAACAACTGCAGCGGCGTAGTTAAGCTACCAATCTTCCGTTTAATTGCAATGTATAATCTAGTTTAATTCTTAAATTTCTAGCCTCAAATGGCAAAGCTGTTATGAGTGTAAATGAGAAATGTTTTTTTTTTTTTAATATAAAAAGTGAAAACTAATCTTAAACTAATCTGTATGGTGTTCTGAATCGTCTGTGCAATCGAGTTGTAGGACAACGACAAAGAAAATGAGAGCAAGAAATGGTTATTTATTATGGCTATGCCGGTGACTACAAATACATATGCACGTACGTAGCTTTCATATTTATTATTTTTGTGTTATTTTAAGCCTATTTACGTTTACACATAGCTTAGTACAAAATGCGCGCATGTGCTATCGCGTATTGTGTCTTTGTGTGAATGTAATTTGCCCCACAACAAACAAATGCAAATTAAAAATTAATGAATAAATAAAATTAATGAAATAGTACAACATAAAAACAACAACAACAAAAGGGCGCATATAAATACAATTGGCAATTGCGAGAACGCACAATGATTGGCAAACGATTTACATGTATGTATATACTTTTTTTATTTATTAATTTTGCAATATTGTTTTTGCGCATAAAAAAGGGGGGTCAAAGGAAATTTCACAAATATGTACGTATGTATATACGCTATAAAAAAGGAGGGAGGGCAACAACTGTGAACTGCAGTCATGTGAAAATTAAAGGAAAAGTGTAAATCAATGGAGTGGAATAAAACGTAGGTGACAAGAAATTAAAAGAAGAACTACTACAAATAAACGCAGCACAGCAAAATGACGTAGTTGCGCTTTTTTCTTTAGAGTTGCAAGACAACGTCAATTGATTGCTAAGGAACCTATTTTTTCTTTGCACATACACACTATTCGCAAACATCACACTACGAAGTGCTTACCTTGTCTACGTTTTCACGCGTTTTAGCGGAGGTCTCCACATAGGGCACCTGCCATTGTTGGGCGCGTGCCTGGCATTCGTTTAGCGGCACTTTACGTTTGTCGCTCAAATCGCATTTGTTACCCACCAACAGGAACGGTATGCTTTCGTCATTTTTCACACGTAATATTTGTTCCCTGGAAAAGTAAAATTGAATTTAGTATATTAATTTTAATGCTTAGTGAAATTAAAATAAAATAAAATAAAATAAAATAAAATAAAATAAAATAAAATAAAATAAAATAAAATAAAATAAAATAAAACAAAATAAAATAAAATAAAATATAATATAATATAATATAATATAATATAATGAAATAAAATAAAATATAATAAAATAAAATAAAATGAAATAAATAAAAATAAAATAAATTAAGGGAAAGGAAATGAAATAATTAAAAATAACTTGGAAAGATATAACGAAATAAAATAAAATTCAATTCAATTCAATAAAATAAAATAAGTTAAGTTGAATGAAATAGTAAAATAAAATAAAAAGTAAAAAAATAGTAAATTAAATTTTGTAAAAAATTTTAACAATGTACTTGTTTAGCTGAGGGAGAGCGGGAGACCAGGTTTAAAGGTGACCATATATATTAATTGGGGGACTCCACTGGAGGAGTCGTGCTCTAGCTGCCGTAGGCTGCTGTGCAATGAGCTGGGATTTATTTGGGGGGACTCCATTGGAGGAGTCATGCTCTAGCTGCCGTAGGCTGCTGTGGAA